TTCTTCACGTTACTAACCAACATGTTGCGTGTAAAAGGAAATTTAGCTTTGATGCGAAAAATATTCGGTTGAATACAGCTTCCAGTCTTCGGCTAACCTCACCGAAGATTTAATCACCTTGAATACGTTCTTTTCAGGTTTATTCGTTCGTGTTCTTGTGCCAGTGTTCACCGCTACATTTCTTTACAAACCTATAAAAATAACCATTTTTCGAATGCAAGATTGTTACTGGTTCCTGGATTTCGCTCATAGGATCACGTAATTCCTAAGTCTAAATATCAGAAGTACTTGTAAAGTACGCATCTGGTCCTATGGCTTTCGGATTTGAGATGTGAAAAACCTAAAAGATTAGCGCTATCTTTTGATCGTGCGACGAATACACTACTGAAGTTAATCTATTTATTGTGATTGAAGTTTCTCTAACGGATGGTTTAAATTGTCTGAAGGATGCAGGAAATGTGGTGTTTTATGTCATATTGACCCATTATTGTGGAGTAAAATTTTCGATTGTCAGAATCAATTAAGGAAATGCTAATCGATAGATCAGTGGAATGGTGCGATGTGGCCGAGTGATGGGTGCTCATGAGACAGTATTATTGACCTAAATGATTAGAAACTAAAGACAAGACTACTAGCTAGGCGACTGGATTATCATGCAATAAAATAACATGTGTTTATACGAAATATAAACACAGAATAAACATGATAAAATGACATTGTCAATTAGAGGAAATGAGTCCATAGATCACTCACCCTCTGATCAACTAAGGCCTGGTTGTGAGGCCTAGTTCTTGGGCGTCGTATCAACCATACATGTGATATTCTGAAGACGATTGAGAAAAATTCTTCTCTGTAAAAGTGCAAAACTTAGTGGATAAGATAGTGGTATTGTGTCGCGGAATTAATGAGTTTAGTTGGCTCCATAAAAAAAGCATTATTTCCAGTAGGAATTTTCGTCAATATTTGAACGAGTAGTTTGACAGAAATTGGACGTCAAGTATAGAAAAGACATTATTTGTAAAAATTATATCTGAAATGATCTCAGCGATTAAAATTTAAATAATCCCAACGTTGCTTCCAGAAGACTTGCTTGGATTTCTTCACGGCAATAATCAAAATTATCAAAGAATATATAATGCTCAACATTGAAATCAAATCTATACTGTGGTCATCCAATCATATTCAGATACCGTAATATCAGCGTTGGCGAAACTATAATTTACAGACGAACTAATCGGGTTAAGATGACAGATCTTGGATTTTGGCGCGAAAATCATTCACTCATTTGGCTAGATACCATTTTGGCATTATGACTGGTCAGTTCGTGATGAAAACATTAAATTTAATTCCTAACCGTAACGCCCAACTATAAATCCTAGTCGTAATTCCTCAAACTAACATATAACCCTCATTTAGCCCTAGTAAGTGGATATTTCGGGGTCATTTTAGCGTTGCTTATAGGTCCTCTATAAATTATAGTCTCACCTCATCGTTTGTGAAAGGATAAATTTTAAAATGTTATCTATGAGATCAATTGTCATGATTGTAATGCAGTTTATGCGGGTGAAACATGTAGACAGTTGAATGAGAGTTTGAAGGAACACAAACAATGTTTGAAACATGTTCTCAAATAGTCAGTTAATTTTAAGAAACTTGAGAATAGGTCGGGGATAACGTTACATGCGTTAGAAACAGGGCACAAGACCAACTTCAAAAGGACCAAAATACTTCAGAAAGGGTTTGTCATGCATGAAGAAAGTTTGACAGCAGATGTATGGGTTAATAAGAGCAGTCTGAACAGAAAAAATTCTATTCAACTAGCCACCTCTTGGCAAATAGTAATTAACAAGTGATTAGACCCTAAATCTATCCAGCCTGTTTACTTCACATGAATCGTTATTTTGACAGAAATTAATTTGAATTTTTTACCACTACAATTGTGTATTTAGTGGTTCTTATTTAACATACACATCGATGTTTCAAAAATATTTTCAGTTCGCACTTGTATTCTTACTTCTAATAAACAAAAAGCAAATTAACACTTAGTATCAATTAATAATAACTTAAACTCACAAATAAACAAACATAATATCCCAATTACTAAATTCAAAATCTGAATGTGATTGGATTAGCACAGTATATATTTGATTTGAATACTGAACATAATGTGTATTCTTTGATAATTTTGGTTATTACCCTGAAGCAATCCAGACAAGTGTGTTGGACAAAACGTTGAGATTATTCAAATTTCAATCGCTGAGATTATTTCATATATAATTTTTAAAAGTGATTATCCCCAGTAGATTTCCATCCAATGGGTCTGGATTATATTGTCGTTATTTTAAACTCAGTTAATTTTATCAGTAGAATAATCATCTTACTGTATCTTTGATGTATAACTTCCGTACTCTCTACTCATACATTATGACTGATCAGAACCGCTTGCTTTAGTAATCAAATCCTTGAATCTAGATCTAGAATTTAGCACCGTTGAACTCCAGTCAAATCATAACATGTCAGACAATTCAGTTTGTTATTTATTGAGCTTCCATTTTAGTTGTTGATCTATGGTATCGTTTCTATTGTATTAACATTTTGTACAGTAATTCATACAACTGGAATGTTTTATTCTATACAACGTTACATTTAAATAATAATGTAAACACTTAGATATTCATTTGTCTTAGGCTAAATTACGCGGTCAAGTAGCAGCGGAACAGGAGCGTTTACTTTTTTCCAAAGTCTCTGAAATTCAGAGACTACATACCGAACTAGATAAATTAAGATCAGAAATCACGAATGTCAAAAACCGCAACACTCAGATTGTTGAAGAGCATGATCAAACCTTGAAAAGTTTGGCAGATGCTCAGAAAACAATCAAGTCCAATGAAACAAGTAAGTTATGCGAAACTAATTACGATTTATTTTTATATAAAGAAAGAACAACCAATATTTTATCGATGGAACTAATCGTACACGATGTATTCATATATGTGTATATCATAGTTCACGATGAAATCCTTTATATTTAGTTTTGTGCTTATTTGACTGAATTCATGGTATAAAACAATCTTTTCTGATATTCATTTTTATTAGAGATAGTGTTTGCTATCACCTTTTGGTGAGAACTTAATGAAGTAGTACACCTAAATTTTAAAGATTTTGAGCACTTCTATCTAAACGCTCGACGGTCATCTGTGCATATCAATTGTTGCGAAATAACAACGGATTTCTATAAGGTATAAAACGTCTCAAATTGGTAATTTTGAAATCAGTGGTGTGTGATGGGTTTTTAGCAAGTACAATGTACATCTTGCATTGGATTCTAAAATAATTATTTTTTTGGATATGTAGGTAGCGTGATCTAGTGGCTTTATTGCTTTGTTAATCTGGTTTTTTATCCAAACTATTATGTTATGTCGCGCGATTAGTAGATTAAGAATTGATTCAATGAAATCTATTATCCAAAAACCAATCGGTGCAATGGGAACTTGAGGATGGATCTCAATGTTTTATGGTGAAAATAATTTGTTGTATATACATTTTGCACTGACAACAGCAAATAAAGCCTGTACACATTCAAGAAGTCAGATGATTGAATAGGAAATATTATGACTACAAATTAGTGTGAATTGACGATGAACAGTGTTAATTGTTCATTTGAATTTTCATTGCACAATTATTCAATCATAATTCGATTTGATATTGATTGATTTCTACACACTGTTAATTAGTTGTTCTGACTCATTATGAATGGCCGATTCTAGAGTACTATTCAAACGTTAGACTTCTATCATAACAGCCAGATATCGCGATATTGATCGTTAATCCTTGATTTTATGTAATTAATTTAGGTTGACTCACGATTTCAACTGTGAAAATACTACAATCTCCACGAATATCCCGACTGAGTTTATTTTGTGTTAATTCAAATAGGCTGGATTTCTTAGCAGATATGTTCATCTGATTTTCACTATTGTTTCGTCGTAGTGTATTATTCTGTTTCATATTTGTCAAAAATCACTGGTTGGTATCATAGAAAGCAGTGGAAAAATTCCATTGATATTTCGTTCAGTTAATCAGGACAAAATACATCGAAGAATTTAGAGTACCAGTAATACTTCTTGTACTGAAAAGGTTTTAAAAGTTTTTTCACCTTAACATAGGTAATCCACAAAATCGAACCTTTGTTTTGGTAATTCACAACCCTGAATTTAAATGAACTCTTCATTTGCTAATCATAGATTCTTGTACTGTGTTTTTAAATCACTCTTCAGTTGTGAAGGCTAGTAACACAACATGGTTGTCTAGATGTATGTTGGTTTGAGGGGGTTCAAACTTGTAGCCCAATTTTTGAGGGTCGAGACACAGCACCTCAAGCAGAATGTCAGTGGTAGAAATTGTATAAATAAAATTTTTTTCCGATTTCCGAAAAGCCGCGAAATTCGACCTTTAGTTTTCTATTCTATAAGAAGTTAATTACCAGTGTATATCGATAGATGATATGCCTAAAAGGATCTTATAAAACTTTGATTTGTAAATCTATATTTATATCACGTCTTTTGTCCATTCATTTCAAATACACTAGTCAGTTATATTATTACTATTAATACTATCGTATTCAATGCTTCTGTAATTATCACTAGATTCACACCTATCGCGTTATAAATGTGTTGTCTTTTCCCTAGAGATCATGGCAGACAATTTATTTCTTCATGTATTAGCTCGCATTTAATAGCCACTTTAGTTAGACATATTGACATTTTCTTTTCATTAAAAGATGTCTGCAATGTGGGATTTTAGAATGTTATTATTGCTTCTTTTGTCGTTGTTATTATTCCTTTGATTCCTATCACATTTATGACCACTTCTACTGTTCCCCTGTTTATCGTATAGTAATAAAATTTTCCGTTTGTATGAAATCTCGACATTGCAGATACTCCTGGGTTATGGATTAGTAGAAAGCAGTGGAATATAGTGTAAAATAAAATCATTTAAAGAAAGTTTAACCAAGTTACAGAATACTAGCCTTAGATAACTATTACAAAACTTTTGAGACGGTGCCACTTTCACAGATATAATTAATACGCGGTTGGTTACACACTTTTTGGTGAGATCTTTTGTGGTCAACAGATGCGCACTTTGCTCAAGCATCCTTACATAAGAATAACAGTTTTGCTTTAGTTATGTTTGTTGTAGGGTTTACCAAAATCCACGTTTTTGAACAGCTATAATAATGTTCAGAAAACTTTATCACTAAAGAAAACTATTGGACCGTAAAAAAGCTTTTTAATAATAATATTAAACAATAAATTGGTGTCGCATTTAAACGTTGTAGGGATTTTTATAAAAAATATGTTTGATCTTTAATTTTATAAAATCTTTCGCAGTTATCGCTTGGTTGAATCGCCAGATTGCCGAGAACGATTCAGGTTATGTACAAAATCGCTTGAAGCTTTCAGCGTTTCCAGTAATAAGTGTATCTTCTGGAGTAATTTGTCCTCTTACTACTCCTAATTCACTTACGGATGCCTCTTCTGGAAGTGAGAAACCCTCAGCATTCGAAACTACTCCTTCATATATCCCATTAACGCAGCATTCCCAAGCTTCTCGTGTAGTCCCTTTATTTGACACACATACATCTGTCATGGTGTCTTCATCTTCAAATACCAACATCATGCAAACAGTTGACAAAAGGCTCATAGAACTACCCAACAGCTCAAAAAATAATTTGTGTGTGAAAAATGTTCCTTCTGCAATAGATAACACGGTAAGAATGATTTTACTGTCTACTGAGAAGAGTAATTACACTAATATATATTTCTTGTCGTGCACACATACTTGCTAAGGAAATTCAAAGTGTTAACTCTCAGCTTTCTCGAGAGTGATGCATTCGATAAGTATCTAATTTACATCACTCATCTTCACTCCTATTACAATTAGGTCGAAACCTCTTATTGAAAAAGCGTTTATTTATTGAAATTTTCTTTGTATTAAATCTTAATCATTTATGTACGTACAAACCTTACAAACACCACTATCAGTATGCAGATCCACTTCTGAAAATGTTTGCAAACTCACTTTAATATATTTCTGTAATGTATTTATTGCAGTTGTAGTCTTTATTGACTTAAAAGCAGCATTTGACTCTGTAGACTGAGAGGTTCTGTGGCAGTGTCTGCCAGTGAAAGGTGTGCCTCAGAAGTACATAAACCTTGTGAAGACTCTTTACTCAAAGACTACGAGTCGAACTATCATCTGGTTTCACAATCTCAAGTGGTGTCCGGTAAGGTTGTCCAATATCTCCATTTCTGTTTAATTTCATCATAGACCTACTTGATAAGTCTTCTAATTGAACGCTAGATTCGGTTCCTAAGCTCTGCTAGTAACCCCCCAGGCTAAATCTACACAGCGATTTGAACAAGAAAGGGTGCGAAATATGGAAGGAACGTTTTACTACAAAGATTCGTTTTTATCTACAGGAAATCAAGGGTTTTTATAGTATTTTAGATGGCCTTGGGTTTCCGGAAAATTCTGGAATGCTACTTAAACGTAGTAGCAGTTTAGGTAGTCATCCGATCAGAAACTCGACATGTGACTTTTCACATTTTAGATGTTTATCGCAATGCTGATTGGATAAGTTGCATCTTAGCGTTTCCAGTGCCTTCGTTAGTTTTATTCGGGTTTTCTGGATCTCCCCAACATTACAGCTGGAAATAACGTTCTCGTCGACTGAAGTTTTAGGAGTTGATCTCCTACCAGGAGGACCACTTACCCATTGACTTGGAAAACATAAATGACATAGTCCTGTTTGGTGAAGATGCTGATAAAGTGAAGATTCTTGGTAGCACTGAGCATCAATGCCAAAACATTTGGGATGCGTTTCTCCCCCCCCTCTAAATGCAAGTTGTTGCTTCAGAATCGGCCTGCTTCAACAACCTCACTTATATTAGAAGTCTAATCAGCCTTAATTGGTTGGTGTCTGGCGAAATCTCTGCGCGGATTCAAAAAGCTCGTTTGGCTTTTGCCAAATATACATGTCCCTTAATTGATAGACGGATATCTTGCTTTCTCTTGAGGTGACGTAAGTTGGCAAAAGCCAAACGAGCATTTTGAATCCATTCAGAAATTTCCATCCACCCAATGCTACTTATATTTTTATAGTAATTGATGGGACAGTTTTGAAAATCATAATGCTCATCACTTTTTGGAGTGTTAAAATGAATGAACAGAGTGTTATTCGATAGACAATGCGCAGTGATATATAGTTTGGTTAGTTAGATTATTAATGGATCGCAAACAGTGAGCAGACTTAGTTTTGTTCTAGAAAAATTACAGTTATAAACTAAATCTTTAATACAAAAGTAAACTCGATTAACGGTTATTTAGAACACAGATATTTTGTGGACAGGGGTTTCGTAGGACAAGTAATCAGTTTATGAAATTAATGCCTGATTATCAGGAATTATTTCTGCCCTTTGTCTAAATAATACAACTCTATCTGTCAACCTTTTTCATCAACATCATGCCAGGTTATCACATTAATGCCTTACCCTTTTGTCATCGATAACTTTTTAATTGTTATAACTTTTTCGCTTTTATTGTAGACTTTCCCGTCTACAATACTTACTACTCACCTGCCAGTATCCACTTCGAGCTGTGTGATCCCTAAAGAAAATTGTGACTTAATCCGTGTTAGAGATACACTTAGTTGTAAGTTTGTCACTCGATTACGTCTTATTTTTTTAATCTTTTGTATCGTTCATTTAGGAAATAAAATATTAATCGAGTTCAATGTTGTTAAGAGCGAAATAGCAATGCTACTAATCCCACTGTACCTAGAGTAAGGAAGTGAAACAAGTAGACGTGAGAGTGTACACTAGACATTCATTTTCTAAACGAAACTTTTCAGAATTAACATACATCTTTTATCACAATATTATTAGACACTGAATTCATGATAAAATTACATTTTGGGATATTATATGATCTTGTAGAATATTCTTAATAAAACGCGACTACGAAAGTTAGTGTTCACAGTATCTTCAACATAGGTTTCTAAGTTATGGATACAATGATTTAATTGCCTGTTAGCTCTAAAAACGATCAATGTAAAAAGTATAATACCGAGTGTGTTTCTTCCAAATAAATCTGGTGCGACTGAATGTGTCCAAGGGGACATCACTTTACGGTAACACACTACGGAAAGTTAATCGTCTCCCTAAAATTACAGGAAAAAATAAGATTAATACTGATGTTTTCGTCTACCTGAAAGATTGACCGCAGTGCTCAAGTAACAGCTGCTTAAAAGTTACTAAATGCAACCTTTTTATGGCGATGTCTACTTTCAGTTTCGACTTTATGCTATTCAAACCGTGGCACCACCGCCACAAAATCATTTAGGAGAAGGTAATATATTTTTCCGAACCCCTATCAATATAGTATTACAAAATCAATGGTATGACCACCATGGAACTCCGATTTTTTCGCTCTAATATCCTTGAAAATAAAGAAACAGTTGTGAGTTTGGCCAACACATCAGTTACCACTATAAACTGTAAGGAGAGAAAAGTCATTTACAATTCCTTATCCTATGAATAAATAAGATGTAGAGTTGATAAGGATTACTCGTTTTCTCTACATATCCTTAGGCTTTACCTTAATTAGTTTGGATTCAAATTACAATTGGGGAGTATTTTGTAAAGTTTCTCGTTTTATTCTCATGTATAGATCCTTATTCGGGTTCTTCTATCCCACCCGAAATTCCTGACACATTAGCCATGGAATTCGCGGATCACAATGGCAAATCACGAAGTATTTCTGATCAAAAGATATCATCAACCAAGTGCCTAGAGTCCGTCGATTATACTAATGATCAAAACTACCATCAACAATCACTGGCTTCCGCCTATTTTCCTCAAATGTCTCTTTGATTTTCTATTTGTAATCATTCAACCTTCAAGTGAAATAAGATTGGTAGCTTTTTTCACATTTTTACAGCTGATGAATCCGTTACTTACCAATCAGTTCGGTTACACTTCTCTGTGTTCCCATTCCTAAGATATAGTCTGTAAATTTTCTGTGAAGCTAGTGAATAAAAAAGCTGTCTGCTTGCTTAGTTATTTATGAATATAGTTTTCCTAGATGAATGAATTCAATTACCACATTTGTTTCTAGTTCGAATTAGCTTGGTTTATGCTCTAGCTATCTAATAACTAAATCCGAGGATAAAAATACAAACACAAAAATAACAGCAGATTGAAGGGGAAATGAGTCATCAACAAAGTTTGCATAAAAATGGTAAAACCTGCTGGTCTCCCCCGTAAAGACAGGTCGTTTGCTCGAGTAGTTTTTTTTATCATAGTCACAATCAGTTTGTTGTTAAGTTATTTTAATCTCACGATTTAAGGGAAGACAGAGAGTGTATACACCTACACCATTATGATCGATTCTTAGCCATATGATCGAGAGTCTCCCACCGTTGGTTACGATAGTCGCGCAAACATCAAGTAGTCTGCATATACCAACATGACTCAACCCAAAACACGTGTACAATGTTGTTACTCATGATGCAAACTCTGAGCAAAAAACCGAGTTCCGAACCACATTTTGTGAGTGAATAGCATTCCTCAGATGACCAAGACATACCACTGGATGTTTTGACCACTGATCAGAAGTCCAGTGTTAAGACGAGGACACTGTAATCCTGCGGATACTGTTTTATCTGTATTAACAACACTGGAGCATCGGGCCATAGGTTTGTAACTTGCCTCATTTTGGTTTAGGTAACAATAAGCAGCACGACTAGGCATTGGAAATCGTAGTTCAAATGTATAAATATTAGTCAGTTTATCGACTGAGTTTTCGTTATTAGTTTCGTCAATTCTACCAATCACATTACGTGATTGTTTGGTCGTGACAGCGCTTTATGACAATATCCAGAAACCATTATTCCTAACCAGTTATAGTTTTAGATGTGCAATATCCATTTGGAAATCGGTAGTTTTGCCTTCGATGCTTAATATACTCGATAGTCCAAAATATGTCCACTTTTAATTATTCGGAAGTGTCAGGAATACAAAATGGTTTGATCAGCATGAACGAATCCGAGTTTCCTGGTATTAATACAAGTCTTAGTGCAGAAATATTCATAACTTGGTTTTAAAGTAGACTGGAGTTTTCATTCTGAGCATTATTATGAGTAATAGCTACGTTATGGTTATCACATTAGTGCAGTGACGTTTTTGTTTCATGTGGTTTTAACGATGTCGGACATCTTTTTAGGTAAATTATCTGATGGCTTACAAAGGCCTTACGTTCAGTCAAACCTGTTCCCACTCAACCACAATCAACTGGTGTTTTCTTCCGACACACGCTACGACTTAGTATACACTATTTTGTTTATCTCAATTCATTACTTAGACCTCCGTAAAGCTTATACGAAGGACTCTTCAAAGTGCTTCATCGCAAACCTAGATACTATATCATCGATAAGAAAGGAACTTACGATGACGTCAACATTGACGGTCTTAAAGTTGACTATTTAGAATGAAACCCTGATAGTGTTGATTTTCCTCCGGTACAATTGGAAGACACGGGGCTCACAATTACGGAACCTCACCCGATAATCATCAATCACAAAGAAACTTTGCTGGTATCTGACAACTGGTCCAGAACAACGCACTCTGCAGCAAGGTTAAGATTTCCAGAACACTCAAAAGACCACTGAATGCAGGACACTGCATAATATTTTGTTTTGTCTCGTTTGTTCGCATTTTTGTGTCGTAAAAGAGAAATAAACGTTTTGCCACTATGCTCATATATGCGTTTTCATTTACTGAAAAGAACCAGGAAAATTATTGCACAAAAATGTTTTTAAACTTTCGCATGTTATTAATACGCACGTATACAAGTTCTTTTTGTTTTGAACGTTTTGTATCCCTACGCATAAGTGCATTTTGACGTACGCTTACAATTTCATTTTTTCTTTCCAAGATGTCGTAGAAAAACTGACGAAAAATATTGTGAACAGGAACTTTCATAGTACATTTTTTCATTTCTGTGTTGTACTGCATGATCCCTTGTATTAGGGAAAGACGGCCTGATGCTGATGGACATAGCAAGCCATCAGGAGAGTGTTTATCGACGTCAGGCTCGTAGGGTTGAAACTCCTGGCTGGTCACGTCTTGGGGTCATCGGTACCCCACTCGAAGTGGAGTGAGCTGTAGTGGCAAATTAGTTTCCGAAATATGTAGTTTTGTGGGTATTTGACATTTGATGTCGACCTCATCATATATGTCTTATCAATAAGCTTGAACGATTGAGTATCAACACAACCTCTAATTGACTGACTCACTTCATATCTAAAAATCGACATCTTAAGGTCAGGATTAACTTCACTTTTTCTCAGGCTATGGAATGTCATATTGGGGTCCCCCGGGGTTTCAGTACTAGGACCTTTTCTTGATTTATATAAACGATCGTCCACAACTGGTATTGTATGACTTATTACGTTTTGCTGATGATGTGAACTTTGGGGAGAGATACGCAACCAAGAGGACATACTGGCACTTCGGGGGATCTGACTCGACTTTAAAGTTGGGCAAATGACAAGGGACTTGCCTTTAACACTTCAAAGTATAAAGTAGTCCATATGCCACATGTTGCACACTACAGTTATAACTGTGACAAAAATGTCTTTCAAGCAAACCTTGCACTGGTAACATTGAAGAGCAATTTTGGCCAGTTTGACGGTGGAACGTTCTACATAATTCCCAAAAGTTTTATTCGTCCCCATTTAGAGTACGGAAACACAGTATTTCCTCCCTCCTTCCAAAAGGATAAGGACACTCTGGAACGTATCCTACGGCGAGTCACGAAATCATTTCTGGCCCCCTATCACTAAACCTTTCTTTACACATTAGAGTGTAGGCTTCTTAGAGGTGACCATCTTATGGAGTACAGTATTCTTAGCACTTCTGATCGTCTCCTCAAACATCTATTTAAGCTTAGTCACAATACTAACCTAAGGGGTAACACCCAGAAACTAGAGACACAAAACAGCAGAACGCACTGTGGATACAACTTCTACTACTTAAGAGTTGTCGAACGCCAGAATTCGCTACCATGCGACCTATTTTAAGCGATTTCTCAGATATTTACGCACCATACTTCAGATCCATTGGCCGGAGACCACCAGCAATAACCTACTATGACAGAGAACAAACCAGCTTCCAACCGAAGAGAGGATTAGGAAAAGACTGGGTGGATAGGACACACATTAGGGAAATCATCAAACTACATCACGAGGCAAGCCTCAACTCGGAATGCTCAAAGTGAAAGGCGAAGAGGCAGATCAAAGAACACATTGTGCCGAGAATCGGAGGCAGACATCAAAAGAATGGATAGTACTTGGGAAAAACTGGGTAGAAGAGCCCAATACAGAGTAAGTTGTGGAATCCTGGTCGGCAACCTATGTTGCACTAGGGGTAAGGAGTGCGAGAACGTAACTCACGATGTTTGCAGAACTCTACATTTTGTCAGCGTCTTCACCCAATAGGAAAATGTCTTTTGTGTGCTTCCAGTTGATGAATGAATCGCCTAGTAAGCGAAAAATCTTCGGGAATTCAAAAGAAGGAGTACTCTTATGTTTAAGGTTCACAAGAATGACAAGTTTGGTTTTCCTTGACTAACGCCGCTTGATATTAGCTAGTTTAGAAGGGAGTTGACAATAGGGGCTGACTCGACCACAAATAGTTTCAGTTTGGAAAGGACAGGAGGCTTGATGGCCTGTGTTAGTCCTGGCAATGATGGTCTCTCAGCTGATCCAACTTTCTTTTGAAGGAGTCGACGGATGGAGCCTCAACCATGTGCTGAGGTAATGAATTCCACTCGTTGATTATTCGATGGGAAATTCGGTAGTCAGCTGACAAGTAATTCGTTCTGGGCTTGTGAACTTTTTTGGAGTGTCCTCGTAGATTTTTTGTTTTGGAAGACTAGAAAAATGAGGGCATATCAGGTGCAAATTTGTCATTAAGCAATTTGAAAACTGTAATCAAGTCGCCTCTGATTCTTCTATATGACAGCGGGAATAGGTTTAGCTTGGTCAGTCTAGTACCATACGGGAGCTTCGCTATTCCGGGAATCAGCCTAGTTGCTGTTCTCTGAACCCTTTCCAAGAGTTCACTGTCTTTTTTTAGGCAGGGGTTAGCTGCTTGTATGCAGTACTCAAGTTTAGGGCACTGTATACAAAGTCAAAAACGCTTTAGCGTCAAGATGCCTAAAAGCCCTGCGTATGGACCATAACTCAGTGTTATTCATCATGTATGTATCTGTACCCTGGTGGCCAATATGCATCACAATACACTTGGAAGTGTTTATCAGCAATTGCCAGGTTTGGGACCATTCAGATAATCTCCCCAGGTCATTTTGAATTTCTAAGTTATCGCCCTTGCTTTGTGTCGCTCTCCATATCTTGACATCATCAGCATAGAGTAAGACCGATGACGATGGTAATTTTTGGTCCTTAAGAGCGCACCAGCTTTCACGAGCGACTAATAAGTTTGTGAGACAAGAATAACCTGTTATAAAACCATGCTGCTTTTCGAAGAGGATCCGGTTTTCTTCGAGATACTTTAACAGTTCCTTCCGAATAATTTTTTTTTAAGATTTTAACAACCAGACTAGTTAGGCTAATGGGTCGGTAATTCTCAGGCTTTTGAGTTGTACCTGTTTTGAAGACAGGACTTACTTTTGTGTTATTCCAGTCTTTTGGCAGACGACCCTGGGTTACGGATAGATTAAAACATATACTTAAAGGGTTCGCGACAAAGTTAGCTAATTCCTTTAGTAACCTAGGATGTAGTTCATCGGGTCCAGTGGATTTGTCTATGTCAAGCTTAACTAGCAGATCAAAGACATCGAGTTCTTTAATAGTTACGCTGTCCAGTGCTTGTGTGGGGGGATTTTCATGGTCTGGTGAGAAGGGTGTTTCTATGGTGTATACATCGCCAAAGTATTTAGAGAATACTTGAACTTTGCCAAAGTCGTCCTCCACTAGTGATGTGGCAGTACTGTCTCCCCATAGTGAAGGAACATTTCTTTTCCTTTTTGTCCTTTGGTTTATATACGAATACAAGCGTTTAGGGCATTCTATGGATTCCCTAACGATTTTCTCTTCGTACAGCTTTCTGGACTTACGGAGGGTAGAGGCACAGGTATTCCGAGCTTTTTGATACTGAGACTTTGCCTCATAAGTCCCCAGTAACCTAAATCTATTCCACATTTTCCTTCTTCTACGGAGAAAGAAGCGAACCTCCCTATTGAACCACGGTGGGGAGTTTCTCGGTCTCTTAGGTGTAGTCCAAGGGATGTGGGGGGCGGTAACTTTTAAGTATAAATTCCAGAATACGTCCCAGGCCGTTTCGATTGATGACTCTGGGTCTATTTTCCAATCTACTGATGATGCTGATTTCATGATGTCTGGTATGTTTGCTTTCCAGACGTCAGGTCTGGATTGAGCTGAAGCGTACTCGTGATCGACAGTTATATGGAAGTCAAAACTACATAATTACTTTTACCTAGGGGTGACATGTAATCGAAGTTCTCAACGTCATCCTCATAAAGAGTCAATATAAGATTTGGTAAGGGTGACTCAGAGCCCGGGTCGTACCTGGTCGTTTCTTTCACATGTTGTACTATGACACATGTGATAGCCGCATCAACTAGTTTCTGCTTAAAAAATTATCTGACGATTCAGTCCGCAGATTTCCCCAGTCCACCATGGGTGCATTAAGGTCCCCCAGGATTAAACATCGATCACTTCGTGATAAAGTGTTGAAACTGCTTAGCAGGACCTCGTTTGCCTCACAGCTTGGACTGCGATAGATCAAACTAAGTAGCAACTTTTGTCCCCTGCATTTCAAGCGGCAACTAACTAGTTCACACGTCCTATTCTCATGGGATACACTGTCGATAATGGTGAATGGAATGGCATTCATAATGAATAGAGCTACTTCCCCTCCTTTACGCTTTTGTATTCTGTCGGCCCTTACCAATGTGAAACATTCGGGGTCAAGTTGCCTACTATCTATAGTCTGCGTCAGCCAAGTTTCTGTGACTGCGATTATGTCTGGCTTAGTGGAGCCAATCTGTACACCTAGTTCCGATCGCTTATTGAGCAAGCTCAGGGCATAGGTGTAACAGATGCGAAGCCTATTTAAGTGGCCTCGTGCTTCACCTAGAGTGGCTACGGCATCACTCTCTGTCGAAGCCTCACAACCCGAAAATTTATAATTTTCAGGTCTTTTTCGCCCGTGTATTATCTGAGCTGTAGTTTGTTTTCGGCTTCCCGTCTTTTTACACGGTCCGCCAGAGGTAAGTTCTTAAGGAGAAAAACTCCTGAACCCTTTAATTTGTGTCCATTTTCTAAGATTAAGTCGCGTTCGTTTGGGGATTTGAAAACGACTTTGAGTAGTCAAGACTGATTTGGTTTCAGATGCGCCAGATTTTCTAGTCTATAGCAAGGTGACTCCGGGGAGGTTTTTGGGCATAACTTAGTTGAGTAGTTGTTTTATCAACACAATGTCATGCTCAAAACGAGCTTTCGGTTCTAAGCTGTCACTCTCCTTGACTCTATGGAGAATGACTGATCTGTTGATGTGATCAGACCTCGGCTTGTCGACCCTTTTGGTGGGGGTTTAATTTCCTTTTACGTCACTTTGGCGTTTTTTTCTTACGACCCGTACCCAATCGCCAACGTTCTTTGGAGTGGTAACCTCAGTCGCGTCAGGCGTACTGTGGGATTCCGGAAGGTTCAGGATGACTTGGGAGATTGGGTCATCTTTCGCGCTGGAAACCAATCGAGCCTTGCGATTTCGGCTTCCGAAAGTTCCCTTCTGGGTACCATTTTTGATACGAGGGACAGAAGAGACTTTTTGCGCGAGTTTCTGGTTGTGACAGACCTCTTTGGAGGATGTCCTTCCTCCTTTGTAGAGTGTGGGTCGGTATTTTTGGGACTCACTTGGGCCTGCCTTGTGTCAATCTGCATGTCGACAAATTGAGTTCTGACTGATGTATCCCGACCGCGTTTGCCGAGACACTTTTTTGCGGCATTTACTATTGAGATGGCCTCGGTTAACAGGCTATTTGCATCCAAACAGCACTGTTGACATAG